GCTAAAATCCAACGTCCTTATTTAGAAGCTGAGGTTCTTTTTTTCAACCGGTAAACTTTTATTTTCTAGGAGAAGTTTAAGGTCACAGCAAAAGTGAAGAGAAAGTACAGAGAATTCCCATGTGCCCCTAACCAGCTCGCCTCATCTGGCCCCATCACCATCTTCGCCACAGTGGCACATTTGTTACGACTGATAAAACTACGTGGCCACATTGTTATTATCCAAAGTCCACAGTTCATTCTTATTTTGAAGAAACCATTATGTGCTTGATCAATTAAAAAAAAGAAAAAGCTTTGTTTTATTCCTTCTATAATGCTCTTCCTTTCTTTATGTGGATTTGAGTTTCTGACATAAACATTTTCCTTCTCTCCAACAACTTCTTTTTGCATTTGTTGCAAGGCAGGTCCACCAGCCACACATTCCCTCAGTTTTTGTTCTTCTAAAAAAAAAAATCCCCTTCACATTTTCAAGGATAATTTCCCAGGGTACAGAATTCTGGATTGGTGATATTTTCTGTTTCAACATTTTAAATATGGTATTCTTTTCTCTTCTGGCTTATGTGGTTGCTGAGAAGCAGCAGAATGTAATTCTCATCTTTATGCCTCTAGAGTGTGCTATTTTTTCCTCTAGCTTCTTTCAATATTTTCTCTTTATGTTTTATTAAAGGCACTTGGACAAATAAACAATTCATGGTGTGTGGTAAGGTGGGGGGGGAGTGTTCTATAGTTCTACAATTAGGGCTCAGTCTTTCAGTGAGCCTGTGCCCCACCTTTGAATATCACCAGTGCTCCCAGTCTTCTGCTCCCACACCTTGCGTGGAACATATGGCTGGCAGGGTGTTCGGGTGCTTCCCTGCTCACCCGTGGAAGCCTTCAAAGGCACTGAAGTTGGGCATTTCCTTCCTCCCCACCCCGGTCAATTAAACTCTGATAGAATCCCAATAGTTAGGCTCTGGTAAAAGTTTCTCTTGAGTGCAGGCCTTATTTAAATACAACAGAACGCTCTGGCCTATGTCAAAATGTTTACTTTTCCCTGCCCCTGTCAATCATCCAAAGGCGGTGGATGTTCCTTCTGCTAGTCACTGGGACAACCGGATAGAACTTTAGAAAGTAAGAGTCATGAAAGGGCTTCCCCCACCACACCCCACAGAGTTTATAACCTCAGACATGGAGCATCCACCAACCCGTCCATTACTCGGGGGCGGTGCTGGTTGCCAAGGAGGTGTCTGGGGGCGGTGCTGGTTGCCATGGAGGTGTCTACTGTCAGGTTTCTGCTCTCCTACCGTTGTGAGTCCCTGGATGGCCTGGCCTCTCCACTTCTGGGGGCAGGTTTTATCCTGTTACCTCACTTCTCTGAGCGACCTAAGAAAAGTGTCGAGTGTTCAGCTCATTCGCTTTTTATTTGTTCTTAGGGTGAAGTGGCAACTTCCGAGCTCCTTGTGGGCCGGATCAGAAACCGAAAGTCCTAACCCTGTCGCTGAATTGGTTCGTGCGCTCTTGCCACGTGCACCACCCAGTTCCTCTGCTCACAATCTCCGGCACTTCCTTCTCTCTGAGATTCCCATCTCCAACTGTGGTCGATCTGCCCTGTCTCATCAGAGTAGTAACAGTACACAACCATGAACAGTGAAGAAAAAAGAAAAATCTGTACATCCGAGGTTGCAGTTATTTGAGAAAGATTATCAGTGTTTTATAAAACTTAAAAATGAATAGTATTTGGTATTTCTTCATTGTCTGAAGTGACGATGATATTCTGTTCATTAAAAAAATTTTTTAGGATTTTGTTTACAGCCTTAAAATTCCTGTCTGGTGTAGTCAGGGCTGGGCACATAACCAGTATTTGCTGAAGGACTAAAGAAGCCTTTTATAAGTAGCACTTCTGCCCTTCAAGGAACAGACATACTCCGTGGCATAACCTTGGTAAAACATCTTTTAAGAATAATGCTGATACACTATGGCAAAGCTCTTTCACTAGCCAGCAGGCCATGAATGAAAAAGGCCAGGGGCAATCTCCACTCTTTCCAAGTGAGTCTCTAAATCATCCAAAGTAGAATGGAGGGAAATGGGAAGAGTCTGCGTGCCTGAGATGAGGGATGTGGGCACCCTTCCCTGTCTGAGTGGTACAACCCTGCTCTGAGCAGTAAGAAATGTCTCTCTGAAAAGTGTGAGCTCATTTGGAATTTGGGGTCTTAACAATAAGTTCATTTTCTTCTAACTCATCTGAATGGCTTGTCACTTCCATTCATAAATATTGTATTCCTTTTCATTATATTCCTATAGATTAAATCTCAGATGAACACTGTACATGCAGCCTTTTAAGTACATGATGACACCAGACAGAAAAATCTACCCAGCGATCTTCACAGCATTACAGAGAAAAAGAAGTTAATGAAAACACAAGTGGCAGAAGGGGGCAGTAACACCCAGCAGAATAGTCCAGGAGACTTTTTTCCATCCAACAGACAACTGCCCAACGAATTTCAGAGACTAATGCAAGTACAACAGACATATCTATTTATCCAAAATACACACAGAAACACTAAATATGTACAAAAGTGAGAGCTCTAATTTTCACACAATCAAAACCTTGTTTTCTGTGGTATGCTATTTCACAGCACAATAGCAATAGTTTCCAAAGGAAATGGGTTTAGCCATTTCAGTTTGGTTTGGGAGACTGGATCTCCTCCCAACAGCCAGCATCGCAAAACGCACTGTTCCTTCAGACTTGTCAGAATGTTTGAATAAATCTCATCATCACGATGCTTCTCATGTCCATTCTTGGGCTTCCTTTCTAAACTGTGTCTGCCTTAGAGTGTCATTTTTCCTTGAACTCTTTCCTGCCTGTGTAGGTACATAGAACTCTCTCCACTCCACCATGCTGTAGAAGTTACAGATTAAACCAAGCAGTTTCACCCAAGAGCTGTTTTTACTGAATTTCCACTCTGAGGCAGACTTCAATTGCTTTCAGTTCCAAGTAGTGCAAACATGAATATTCTCTATGCTCTATTTTGTCCTCACCTTAGAATTCAGTTGCGCCGAACAAGATACACTTTCTGGACATGGTAGGTATATAATTAAGATCTGACGACAAGGATAGCGATGATATGACTTCCAAATGAATTCAGGATTACAATGTAAAACTGAAATACACCATCAGAGTCAGAGTATGGACTTTTACATGGTGACATCTAACCAAGTGTGAACTGGTAGCCCCAAAAATTATTTGAAATTTTGAGTTAGGTACAGACTACTTGAGATGAAACAGAAAAATTGGGTTAAAAGGAATTGTTTTAAAAATCTGTGCTCTTAGTTGGAATTTCATGGAAGACTCAGTACAAGAAATGGGAGTGTCCCAAATGATTAAAATATGACTTAGAGGAGGAAGGAGAAAGGCTTCCTGGATGAAATGGAATTTTAGTCATCTGTGTCTCATGTAGAATGTGTACATTAAGCAAAATGTTAAGAAAATAATTCCAAGTGTGTCTCTTTTTTTCTTAAGACTTTTACAAACTGTGGTATCTGATGTGGTTTTATTTTAGGTGTTATGCCATTCTCCTCTTTTAATGCTAAGAATGTATGGCTTCATTGAACTTTTTATTTGCTGTTGCTAATTTCTTTCTTTTCTTTATTTTCATATTTCACCTTCACGGACCCTTCCCCACCACTACCTAAAGGTTGATATTAAACAAAAACAACGGATGAGAAAATTCAAAATTGTTAAAAATTCCCCTTTCTTTCCATCCAATTCCTCATCAAACTATGCTCCCAAAAAAGTATAGAAAATTACCCCTAGAAGGATTTACAGGAACTAGTATAAAGGTCACATGGACAAAAACTAAGAGAGGTGGAAACGGGAGGGAGGTGAGAAGCACGGGAGGCGTGGCTGGGATGGGAGTAAAAGATAGAAAACTGTACTTGAACAACAATTAAATAAACAAATTTAAAAAAAAAGAAAATGATCCCTAAATGTGATGTTGTACTTTGATCGATTGCCACACCTCATCTTGGAAAAAGGGCAGAAAAGACAAAAAATTACCAAGCTTTAAAAAAGCCCCCTCTTATTTGTATCTCCTGTGAAAGGCTGGTGACCCAAAAGGTTGCAACCACACGGCAAAGACGGAAGTTAATCAAAGCAGACGTTCTGCGCATTTATCATCCCTGCGGACGCGGCGCCCCTCGGAGAAGAGGTCATATTACCACGGGGATAACTCTAGCTCAAGCGGACTGTTCACAGGCTAACTGCTTGGGAGCAGTATTTATCTCCTTCCTCTCCAAGAAGCAAGGAGGGGATGGTGCTTTGGAGAACAGTATTTCTTAGGGTAAACATAACAGAGCTCAAAAGAAAAGTTACACATGGGTGCACTCGCTGTAGCTATTATATTTCCTTCAGCTAAGTTTTTTTAAATTTAAAAAGGTATGTGTGATGCTTATACCGTTGGTTAAGGGTTGTCGCGAAAATTAACCCTGACATGTTTGAAATACTTGATAGGTGTAAAAAATGCAGCCTTTTGGGGGGTTTGCTTGTTCGGATCGGTCCACACTATGACTCCCTAGGCGGCCTGAAGGGAATTCCCTACTCGAGCTCTGAAACCCCTGGGCACTCCTTCCCGTCCACAAACCAGTGTCCCGCCACCTAAAATGGGGAGAAAGAAAAGTAATCTGGCGCAAACCCGAGGTCCCTGAGCAGAAGAACCGGGGAGTGGAAGGGATGGGGAAAAGGGGAGGCGATTGGATCAGGGCTTGCGGGGGCGGTGGGGTGGCCATGCGCTTTGCACCCACCTTGGAGAAGCGGAAAGTAGTTTCCCGAGTTTCCAATTTTGTCCTTTGTGTGCCAAAAAAAAAAAAAAAAATACAGCCCCGACTGACGCTTGCGCAATTGAGGGGAGGGGTTGGAGGGGAGTTGTGGACCAATAAGAGAAGGTGGAAAGAACCAATCAGAGTTACGTGAGCTGCTTTTCACAGCTTAAAAGGAAGGTTCTCTCCGCTAGTTTCCAGCTGTCAAAGGACTTCAGCGAGCTTCAGAAGTACGCCAAAGAATTCTGTCCAGCGCCTCGTCTAGCTCCATCCACTGCCCGGAGTCCACTCGCGGCTACGCCTCCGTCCGCCCGCAACCGAGATGCTCGTCCGCGCCCTGCTGCTGTGCGCTGCCCTGGCGCTCTGCGCTGCAGGTGGGTACCTGGTGCTGAGCACCGCGCGCTCCCGGCTAAGTTTCTGCTCTCATCTCCTGGGGACCTCCTCATTCAGAATACTTTCGGAATGGGAAGGCTGTAGACTTTGTACAGAACTTGGACCGCTTGAGTCCAAAAGAAGTGGGTGGAAATCCCTGCTTTACCACCAACTCTGATCATCACGGGCCAGTTGCTTCACCAGTCTGGGTCTCTTTTCTTAGCCGCTAAATAGAAATAGTGATACTAATTTGCAGGGCTTTTTGATAAGACTGGACATGGTCAATCTATGTGAAATGATTGTGTGTGGTACCCATTGTTACTGAGTGGGAGTAATTGTTTTATTTAAATACCCTAATTAGTGTGTTCCTGCCTCAGGAAAGCCCAGGTTATTTTTTTTTAGATAAGCAAAATATTTTTTAAATAAGCTCTTTATATTTTGCAATTTTCCCTAAACTTTGATTGAGGTACTAGATCTATCCATTTTAATTCTGAGATTGCTACTTATGTGAGCTTCTTCATAGTGTTGATTTGAATATCGGAAAACTTACTAAGAAAAAACTTAGCCACATGATTTCCTGGTTGAATAGCCTGTTATCCGTATTTAGAATAGGAAGTCAGTATTGCTACTTTATAGCCATCGTGTGAGGCACGCTTTTAAAACTTGTTTTCCATCGACTCCCCTGTATATTTCTAGAATTTAGTATTGTAAAGATGACCCGTAGTAAGGAAAACAATTAAACATGTAAGTCAAGATTAAGACACCGAAGAACAATTTATTTACTTGTCCTTACTTTTATTGTAGCAAATCCTTGCTGTTCCAACCCATGCCAAAACCAAGGAGTGTGTATGAGCGTTGGATTCGACCAGTATAAGTGCGACTGCACCCGAACAGGATTCTACGGGGAAAACTGTTCAACGCGTAAGTTTGCCCTTGGGTGCCCTCGTTTGGAAGGGGGTACCTAGAGTTCTCATTTTACAGATTTGCGTCTTATGATGTGTCCCATTAATTTCACCCTCCTTTTCTTTCTCTTACTGCAGCTGAATTTCTGACAAGAATAAAATTATTCCTAAAACCCACACCAAACACGGTGCACTACATACTTACTCACTTCAAGGGGGTCTGGAACATCGTCAATAATATTCCCTTCCTGAGAAATGCAATCATGAAATATGTGTTAACATGTAAGTACATTCTCTTTCTAAGGTTTTAAGCTTCCTTGAAGAAAAAATGGTTTTTGTAATACTCTGCATTGCTAAACCAAATCCAAGAAACTTATTTCCAACCTTGTCAAAAGGACTTTAAACACTTTAAATACACCTTTTTGGTGTGCCTTCTAGCTTCATGGCCAAAAATCTTGACATTTTGGTCCCATTTAAGTTAATAAAACTTAACTGTCTCACACTTGGAAATCTACATACTGTCTGTACCTTTTCTGGGTTCCTTGGATGGTTATTTGAAAAATCAAGATGACTAGACCATCTGGTCTTGTGTAAAGTAACTAAACTTCAGTATAGATATACTTTAACAAATCATTCTTTTTTAGTAAGTACAAGTGGCAGTTAGCTTTAAAGTCTAATTGTTTTAAAGTTAGTGGGTCTTTGTTGGAATTGAACTCAGTCTCTGGTGCCACTTTGTGCAATTAAGTGAGGGGTGGGAAGGGACATTTTACACTAAAAATGAACATTGATTTGCCTTTCATATGGGGACTAATCGAGCAACTTTTTTTCTTAAAATTTTCAGCCAGATCACATTTGATTGACAGCCCGCCCACTTACAATGCAGACTACGGCTACAAAAGCTGGGAAGCCTTTTCTAATCTCTCCTATTACACCAGAGCTCTTCCTCCTGTGGCTGACGACTGCCCAACTCCCATGGGAGTGAAAGGTGAGTGAGAGGGGTCAGAGATATATTGCAATGGGGGCTGGATTACTACTTAGAAAGTTTGGCCCTACATGATTATTCTTTGCTTACAAAAGCATCGTTTTTTATCCCTTTCTTATAGATAGCTAAAAAAATCTCCAGATTTTTCCAAAGTGTGAGAATGTGTAAATTATTGCTTGAAAGTGAATGGGCATTTTGGTTTAATGTCGTACTGTTGGCCAATCATTTCATGAATACTGAAATCATACTAGTTAAACAATAGATAAAATCATTCCATAAGAAGTTTTTCCCCCATATCTTAGACCTGTTATTTATATTAAGATCCTGGTCACGACTGTATCTCTCCTGTATGTGAGAAATGCCCTGAAATTAACAGTATTATCACCTTCCTTGTCTATATCATTGGAATCTTATCTTCCTTATTTTTCAGGGAAAAAAGAGCTTCCTGACTCAGATGTGATTGTGGATAAGTTTATATTAAGAAGAAAGTTTATTCCAGATCCCCAGGGCACAAATTTGATGTTTGCATTCTTTGCCCAGCACTTCACTCATCAGTTTTTCAAGACAGATCATAAGCGTGGGCCGGCCTTCACGAAAGCACTGGGTCATGGGGTAAGACAGAACTAAGTCCAAATTACAGCGAATCACAAGGAGGTGCTAACATGCAAGACCATATATTTATTTGCCACACCACATAATTCGCCCTCTTTTTAAAATGTGTCCAGTCTATAAAAACTTTAATGGAGTTTTCATTTGAATTCACTGGTTCATTAAAAATACACACACACACAGATGTCATTTGTAATTCGGTTCTTGTGTTTCCAGTTCAGAATATTAGCGATGCAAAAAGTTGTGTGTTTGAAACATTTGTACCCTTATTATGCTGCTTTAAATATTACAAGTGAGATTTTCAGAGCACTATTATCTTTTGTATTTCGGTGATATAATTTCAGTTTATTCATAGGAATTTTATACAAATAATAAATTTTCTGATGCCTTTTTAAAGGAGATAACCAAGTAGCAAAATGTATGATATATTTATCAGCTACATAGCATATACTAATGCCTTTAAATACAAAAGACCTATGTGTTTGCAGCTTTAGTGGTCAAACATATTAATTTAGTATTTTGTGGTTATGAAAAAAGTGCTTTTATTAAAAAATGTAATTGAAGCAAGATAAATCATCAAATTATTTAATGATAAATTATGTCATAGACATTTATATACTAACAACTTCGGCAGCAGCGAACTGAAATTTTTCTGTCTTCTTCTAGGTGGACTTAAATCACATTTATGGTGAAACTTTGGAGAGACAGCATAAACTGCGCCTTTTCAAGGATGGAAAAATGAAATATCAGGTTTGTCCCACTTGAATATTAAGATTCAATTCTGACTCACCACTTTACGTGTATTTTTAAACCTCTGACTAAAATTTACTTCTTAACTATTAAATTGATGTTTACTGATTACTGTCTTTTGTGTAGGTCATCGATGGGGAAGTATACCCTCCCACGGTCAAAGACACTCAGGCCGAGATGTTCTACCCACCTCACATCCCTGAACACCTGCGGTTTGCTGTGGGGCAGGAGGTGTTTGGCCTGGTGCCTGGTCTGATGATGTATGCCACGATTTGGCTGCGAGAACACAACAGAGTGTGTGATGTGCTGAGACAGGAGCATCCAGAATGGGATGATGAGCGGCTGTTCCAGACAAGCAGGCTAATACTGATAGGTAAGGAAGGCGAGTAAATAATTGAAATAAAACCATGTCCCCCAGACGAAACTAGTTCATTAGCCTTGTTATGTCTTCAGTCGTTCTGGGGGAGTGCAGTGAATGTAAACTCACATGCTCCATATTAACTCAGTCCGTGAGCATGATTGTAATGTATAACTAATTACCTTTCAGTTTCATGGTAAGGAAAAGGAGAAGTGAAGGAATGGCCAGTCAACAAAACGGCATTTTGGCTGCTTGAAAGATAGTGATCAGAAAGAATTAATGTTCTCGTTTTTCCTTTTGTGCCGACAGGAGAAACTATCAAGATTGTGATCGAAGACTATGTACAGCACTTGAGTGGCTACCACTTCAAACTGAAGTTTGACCCGGAGCTGCTTTTCAACCAACAGTTCCAGTACCAAAACCGCATCGCTGCTGAGTTCAACACCCTGTACCACTGGCACCCACTCCTGCCTGACAGCTTTCAAATTGATGACCAGGAGTACAACTACCAACAATTTCTCTACAACAACTCTGTACTGATGGAACATGGGCTCACCCAGTTTGTTGAATCGTTCAGCAAGCAAATTGCTGGCCGGGTAAGCAGTGTTATTGAAAAACAAAATAGGACAGGAGACTGCTCAGAACTACCATTTCTGCCATCAAAATGACTTTTCTTAAACTGACTAAAAAAGTGATTGCTTTGCTACTAAAATTCTTGAAATGAGAAGCTTAATGTTTTTTCAAATGGTAAAGCTTTTAGTCTACAGTTATCACATGGCAATATGTAATCGTACCTTAAATATAGATATTTTCAACAGCTTTCTATAGTCTTCTAGATTACAGAAATAAATACTTCCAACTTAAAGAGTTTAGGTCCCAGCTGAGAGCATTAGTCTTACCTCCTTTGTGCCCAAGAAATGCTATTAAAATCGAAATTGTAAATATGCCTAAAATTTTTGTCTTATAAATACGATTCATTTTCCACAGGTTGCTGGCGGTCGGAACCTTCCAGCAGCGGTCCGATACGTAGCAAAGGCCTCCATCGACCACAGCAGACAGATGAGGTACCAGTCCCTCAATGAGTACCGCAAGCGCTTTCGGATGAAGCCCTACGAATCTTTTGAAGAACTTACAGGTGAGAACCAGTCTCTGGACTTCCCAAAAGATCCAAAGGGCCAAATGGAAACAACGGGGCAGTTGGAAGCAGGCTGAGCACAGGGGTAAAACTGTTTTTGCATTTTGTACAGTTTTACATCCATCATATCTGTGTCTTTGTCACCTGCACAGGAGAGAAGGAAATGGCTGCGGAGCTGGAAGCGCTCTATGGTGACATCGACGCCATGGAGCTGTACCCCGCCCTTCTGGTAGAAGAGCCCCGGCAGGATGCCATCTTCGGTGAGACCATGGTAGAACTCGGAGCCCCTTTTTCCTTGAAAGGGCTGATGGGCAATCCTATATGCTCTCCTCACTACTGGAAGCCTAGCACCTTTGGTGGAGAAGTAGGCTTTAAAATCATCAACACTGCCTCCATTCAGTCTCTCATATGCAATAACGTGAAAGGCTGCCCCTCCACTTCGTTCAGCGTGCGGGACCCGCAGCCCACCAAGACTGTCACCATGAACTCGAGCCCCTCCCACTCCAGACTGGAGGATATCAACCCTACCGTACTACTAAAAGGACGTTCAACCGAACTGTAGAAGCCTATTGATCATATTTATTTATTTATGTGGATGATTTCTTTTATTTAATATTTATATTGAACTCCTTATGTGACTTAACAGTTTCTGTTAAGGAGAAAGGAGTTATACTGGTGAAGAGTTTCATGTTACTGATTTAAAGATGTCTTATCTCTATGTTAAAGGGAAAACCGGTGGTCGTTTGACATCTTTTTTACTTGAATTTCAGTTTAGATTGTTTTCGTGAGAACCTGAGAAAAGACATTTGAACATTTAGATGCTGTTACTAGACAACCAATGCTGCAAGTTTCTTTCTACACTTTCAATACTTACAGTGTATCTTCCACCACCCAAGGGAAGCAACTACCCGCACAGTCTTCCCCTGATTTTCTTCTAGCCATTTTGCTGAGAGAAACCTTTCTGATTAGTTTACTTCTTCTATTTTGTGTTCCTGGTTTCTGCATCTGAGTTTTCTCTTCTTTGGTCTCTGTATTTTCTTACCTGAACTTCTTCTGCAAAGTTTCAGGAAAATCTCAGCTCAGGACTACTATTTAGCTTCTCTTGTGAGGAATGAAAGAAAACAAAAGCTCTCAAAAAGGGCTTTGACAGAAATAAATGCTCATGTTTTAAGCAAAAGGCAAAACATTTTATTTATATTTAATTTTACTGTGTCACTGAAGATGCCTATCAAGAGACTTAGGGGAAAAAAAACTGTAAGGGAAGAGAATTATGGTCCTCCTCTAATGAATGTCCTTCCACCTCTGAAAACAAAAACCAGCAATTCCTGAGTAAGGCCCAGGAAGATCATACTTCTTCTTTTCCACATCTCATTGTCAGCTGACATTTTCTGGTACTGTATATTATTTAATTTATTGAAGATTATTATTTATATTTGTTAGGACATTATTATTATAAACTGGGTTGAAGCCTGTATTGATTTTTTTTGGCATTATGTCAGGATCACTAGGCCTTCTCTGGGATTACCTCTTTGAATTTTGGAAACTACAGAAGAAATTATTGGATGAAGATGTGAATGAATTTTCAGGGACATTGAGCTATTAGGTTGGAATTTATGTATTTAAGATACACGTACACACCAGCCCCCAGAGAACATCCTGTCTCATTAGCCTGGATAAGACATAAGACTAATCTTTTATACATTTTTAGGACCTGTGGATACTACATTAATTCATTCAGGCATAACTTCTTTGAGAGACAGTTTTTGCCAAGCACTGTATATTTTGATATTTTTTAATCGAGCACTGATTATGAATAGCATTAGTATTTTTGTAAATAATTAAAAGCATGTCTCTTAGGCAGAGGGAGATGAAATTTCATGAAAAAGAAATAACTCAGGGGATTTTTTTAAGATTTTATATTTAAAATGTTAATAGTTAAAAAAGAAATAGTCAATATTAGAAGGGCTTGCACAAAAAAAAAAAACCAACCTGTTAACTTTTCTGATTTAAAAACTGATTTGTTATTAACATCAACCTGCTATCTGAACCTACGAATTCAGAATGTGTATGTGAATTTTTTTGTGCCTTAGACTATATTTAAATTATGTAAAATACAAGTGTTGAAATATGCCTGTTTATTTTTATATGAAAGAATCGAAAAATCTCTTCTACAATAAATTCTGACTGTTTCTACATACCTTTGTCTTATGGCCTATGATTTCTCTGAAGTGTTAGACATACTGTAAACCATTATCTGTACTCTCCCATCTATTCCCCCATCTAGACCGGCCCTTAATGAAATGGTTCTGCCCTCAGTCACACAGAGGCTTCCTAGGATCACTATTTATAATCTCTCATTCACTGCCACACCATATCGAGAAACATGTGCTCTGTGCCATAGAAGGTAGCAACGAACTTGTGGTCATTGCCTAATCTTGAAGAAGGGAAAAAACTAAGTACACAAAGAATAAGAAAAGAATGACTAAGGAGGCACAAAATTAAAAAGGACGTTTAAAGAGGAGATTATACTTAGTTGGGTAAATCACTGACACCTGGGTCTTTGTCTTCTGTCATGTACACCCCTACTCCTGACATCTTGGTATTTCAGCATCCAAATGGGCCATGCGTTTAATGTTATTTTTGGCCTCTCTCTTCCTCAGCCTTCTCCTTCTCCATTCCTGTGATGCCTTTCTCCACCATATTCCCATTGATCATACATACATTCCTTGATCTCATCATTAATTACTGTGCCATTTCCTAAATCTTGATTTCAAGCATCCATTTTTTTACCAACACCTACAGCTTATCTATTTAAGTACTTACACTCTAATTCCCAAGTGTTCAGTTTCACTGTGCCTAATGACCCACCAATCTCATAGCTTCAGTATTTTTTCTTCCCGTTTGCCTCCACTTAGGAATCTAGCTCAGATTCCATTGCCCATCATCATGATGACACCCTCATTCTGGGTCTACTCTCCCTCCACTGTACTTAACTGGCAAAATTTAATTAATTTCAGCCGTCTTCCCAATCTGTTTGACTTCTCAGTAGCATTCAATTCAAATGTCTGTAGCTTCTTTACTTAAAAAAAAAACATTTCTCAGCTTCATGATTTGATCCTCCTCTGGTCTTGCTCTACTTTCAGAATGCTTTTGCAGATATTTTTTAAACTCTTAATTCTCTACTGTATCTATAAATTCAAGTATTTTGTTCCACCTCTCTTTAAGTATACTCTTCCAGGTGAATCTCATCCCAGCTCATACATTAAAACACTAATTGATTAATCATTCCCAAATTTATGTCTCTAGAAGCAACCTCTAATTGTCCATTGACAACTTTCACTCAAATACATAAATAATGGCTTATGTTACATCTCTATCCTCTCAGCACCATATACCCAAACTTATAATAATCCAAAAGATACCACCACCGCCCCTTAGTTCTCAGGCAAAAAACCCTGTGTTCTTCAAGCCCATAGGCAATCCAGTAACAATCTTGTTGACTAAATGCCACAAACAAATATTAAATCTGTCACTTTTTCTCCAACTCCACTCTACCAACCTAGTCAATGCAATAATCTCTTAGTTGTTTTTCCCTTTGCTATTATTGCCTCACTCCAAACCATTCCACTTGTGAGAGTGGTCATTTTCAAACATAATCACATCATGCCCCTCCCTTGTTTGAAATCTTCTGGTGGCTTCCTGTTACACAGTGGATAAATCTGAACTCCTTGCCCTATCCTATGAGACCTAGGAGGGTCTCAGTGATCTGTCACCTGCCTATCTATCTGATTTCACCCACTATGATTCCCCATCCTTGTTCACTGTGTTCCAGTCACGATTCCTCTGGTTTGCTCATTAGCAGTGGTTTCAAGCTGTTGCCCCTTTCTAGAATGTTCCTTCTGAAGATTTTCCCATGGCAGTATCCATCTCCATATTTAAATCTCAGTTCAGATTTCTCCTTTTAGGAAGGTATCCTCTAACACGCTAAGCTAAAGCAAGCACTAAAACAGTTTTATTTTCTTTATGGCTGGAATGTAATTTTTACAAAAGCAAGGATCTTGCTTGGATTATTTGCTGTTGCCCAAGCAGTGTCTAATACTTAAAAGGCATTAAAAACATTCAATGAATGAATACGAATAGGTTTCACAAAAGAAGTAGAATATGTGTTGATTCTTGAATAAAGAATAAAACCTTACAATAAAAACAGAGCTATCCACTCTCAAAAATTGTATGGCAGTTTCTTCTAAAACAAACCAAAAAATTACTTACTCTATATATCAGTTTTTTATTGACGCCGTAATAAATTACCACAAACTTACTGGCTTAAGACAACAGAAATGTATTGTCTACATTTCTGGGTCTACATGCAGGAATAAGAAATAGGTCTCACGAGTTCAACACAAGGTGTCCATAGGGCTATGTTTTTTCGGGGCTCGAAGAGAATCTGTCCCTCAAGCTGCAGCTTCTGGGGGCCACCTGCACCCCTTGTTTTATAGCCCTTTTGTCTGTCATCAAAGCCAGGACGATAACATCTCTGACTCTGACCCTCTTGCCTCTCTCTCAAAACGGCCCTTTTGATTACCTTGGGCCCACAAAGATAATTCAGGAAAATATCCCTTCCTCAGGATCCTTAATTTTTTCACATGTACAAAGTCCCCTTGGCCATGTAAGGCAACATGCTCACAGGTTCCATGAATTAGGGCATTGCCACCTTTGGAAGGCTATTATTTTACCTACCACCTCATACAACCCAGCAATTGCACCCTTGGGCATTTATCCCAGAAGAATAAAAACTGTATCCATGCAAAAATCTACACGTGAATGTTCATAGAGACTTTATTCATACTAGATTAAAAAACTGGAATGATCCAAATGCCTTTCAAAAAGTTAATGGTTAAGCAGAACTGTGCACACGGTGCTGTGTCTACACCACGGAGCACTATGCAGCAGAACGAACAAACCAACCACTGATACCAACTACTGATACGTGCAACAAGTGGGATGGAACTCAAAGGAATTATGTTGAGTGAAAAAAATGCCAACCTTATAAAGTTATCTACTGCAAGATTCTATTTATATAACATTCTTGAAATAACGAAACTGTAGGGTAACAGATTAGGGGTAGGAGACCAGCTATAACTATACAGAGAGTTGTATAAGGAAGCCTTGTGCTGGTTGACCATTTCTGTGTCTTGGCTGAGGTGGTAGTTCCACAAAGCTGCATATGTGACATGATTGCATACAACTCTACACACACACAGATGCATGTATGCATGGAGAAATCTGAATAAGCTCTGTGTATTTTACCAAGGTCGACTCCCTAGTCTTGACATTGTACTAAAATTACGAAATATGCCAACATTGGAGGAGGAGGTATGAAGGTTGCATGGTACCTCTCTGTACATGCCTTTGCAACTTCCTGTGAATTAACAGTTATTTCAAAATAAAAAGTTTAAAAAAAAGAGGAAATGATGTACTGTCATACTAGGTAGAGGGGATAGGTTTACAGGCAATTTTTGTACTATGTGATTTCCTTAACCCTCACCCAAACTGCCACAGCAGATTGGACCTACCTAACCAAAGCTAAGAAAATAAAATGATCTCTCCAAGGAATCTGAACTTAGGGTGGAGACCCTAGCTCAGCCATACAATATACTATTGAAAATGGTGTTGATGAAGTCTAGTTGGGTAAACCAATATACTATTGACAATGGTGTTGATGAAGTCTAGTTGGGTAAACCAATATACTATTGACAATGGTGTTGATGAAGTCTAGTTGGGTAAACCAACATACTATTGACAATGGTGTTGATGAAGTCTAGTTGGGTAAACCAAACCATCTCCTCCTAAGTGGTCTGGCAGGACCTGAACATTCCCCATGAAAAGAAAGAACCACAATTATACCTCAAAATACACACAGTTAATTCAAGATAGTTCATAGATATACAGGTAAAAGATGAAAGTAAAAGGCTTTGAGGAAAAAGCTTTTGAGAAAAAATAGGACATGTCCATAAGTAGGAAAGAATTGTAAATTTTTTTCAATTTGTATTGAATTTATTGGGGTGACATTGGTTAATAAAATTATATAAGATGTGTCCTATAATACATCATCTGTGTGCTGTATTGTGTTTTCACTAACCGAAGTCAAGTACACTCCTTTACCCTCTTCTACCTACCCCACCCCCTCTTCTCTGTTAATCACCATACTGTTGTCTATGTCTATAAGTTTGTCTGGGTTTTGCCTTGCTTAATCAGTCCCTTCATCTTTTTCACCCAGCCCCTGAACCTCCTCCCCTCTGATGTTGCCAGTCTGTTTTCTGTATCTGTGACTCTGTTTCTATTTTATTGGTTAGTTTATTCTGTTCATTAGATTCCACATAAAAGTAAAATCATATGGTATTTGTCTGTCTTTGACTGGCTTATTTCATTTAGCATAATACTCTCCAGGTCCATCCATGTTGTTGCAAAAGGTGACATTTCTTTCTTTTTCACAGCCTAGTAGTATTTCATTATATAAATATACCATAGCTTTTTTATCCACTCATGTACTGGTGGGCACTTGGGCTGATTGTAAAACTTGGCTACTGCAAATAATGCTGCAAAGAACACAGGAGTGCAAAAGAATTATAGATTTTATCCAGAAAGTACTAGCCATAAAAGAAAAAATATTAATACTGTGGACTTACAAAATCAGAAAGTTGTCTCACCAAAAGACTAGACTAGGAAAATAAATAGACAGGTCACAAACTCATACAAAATAGTCACAATACACATATCTAACAAAGAACTTCAACATATAATATATAAATAACTCCTCCAACTCAGTAGTGAAAAGACAAGTAAATTTTTTAAAAAGGACAAGCAAGTACGTACACAGGATGACACAGGAATGTCCAATAAGTACATGAAAATATTTTCAACACCATTAGTCATCAGCAAAATGCAAATGAAAAATAGTGAGATAGTATTATACACCTGTTAGAGCCTTTAAAATTTAAAAGATTAACTACAGTGGTTAATGTTATGTTAACTTGGCTAAGCCATGGTGCCCAATTGTTTGGTCAAGCACGAGTCTAAATGTCACTGGGAAGAAATTTTTAGATGTGATTGACATAGAAATCATTAGACTCTGAGTAGGAC